GAATTGTTCGTGTGTACATGTTCATTTGTTGTTTTTTGTTTTCCCTATGTTTCAGGATTTTGTCTCGTCATATCTCCAACGCTCAGTTCACCTCCCACTCCGCCTCCCTCAATCTTGTTTTCCCCTCATCTCTATCGCACTCTCTCTCTCCCCCTCTCTCCCTTTCTTTCTGTCTCCATACCTTTCTTTACCTCTCTCTCTGTCTCTCTAACTCAGAATTTTCTCTTTCTGTCTTGATATCATTTTCCCTCAACCTTTCCCACCAGTATTCTCTCTCTCTCTCTCTCTCTCTCTCTCTCTCTCTCTCTCTCTCTCTCTCTCTCTCTTTCTCTCTCTCTCTCTACCCCCCCTCTCTCTCTACCCCCCCTCTCTCTCTCTCTCTCTCACTCTCTCTCACTATCTCTCTATCTATTTCTGTCTTCCTCTCTCCCACTCACTCACACAATCTCCCTCACCCCTCTTTCTCTCTCTCTCTTTCTCTCTCTCTCTCTCTCTCTCTCTCTCTCTCTCTCTCTCTCTCTCCCTCTCTCTCTCTGTCTCTCTCTCTCTCTGACATACTGAATTACACTGATTAGAAAAAGTTTGTCTACTGACGTCTTAAGTTCTGTTAGCTGCTTTTTACACAATAGACAACGACTTTCTCATAAGAGACAAGGAAACGAGTTTTGAAATATCAGGTACAACATTAAAATGGTCATCGTCTTACCTAAACGAGCTTTTTTGAACGGTGCAGGTGGAAGACGAGACGTCTAAGACATGCATTCCTCTTAAATGAGGGGTTCCTCAGGGTTCTGTACTTGGGCCAGTTATTTTTTACTCTTATTACACAACCTCTTGTTAACATATTTTAAAAAAATGAAAAATGAATCACCGTCTCTATGCAGAGGTCACGGTAATAAATCATATTGCTCGTAAGGTTGACAATATTAATAAAAAATAATAAATGACATTTATATTGCACTGAACCCGGAATAAGGTACACAGGCTCTGGATGCTTTACAATACAATAGTAACATAAAAAGGTGTGTTCTGACCAGAAGAGAACCTCTCTAAATACTGCTAGCATGAATACTATTAACAAGTCAGTGCATGCAAGACATCAAGCTATAGGCCTATTTTTAGAATATTGGTATTATAGAGGGAAATCGTTCTTCGATGGAAAAAAGGGATACCCCAGAATATCACCTCGTCGATCGTTTTACTTCATCGTTACTAAACATTTTAGATGAATTCTTTGTCCAAATATGTTTCTAAACGCTTTTACAAATACAATACGTTCAGTTTGTGACTTGACATTTCATCGTTGACAAATGATCAGTTAACGAACTTTGTGGTCACGAACATTCCCCACAAACCTCATCATGTCACAATACTTCTATTTTCGCTGGTAACACATCTTCCCAGTTACAGTCAGCGCGTGTGGATTCTCATCAGCTGGAGAGAAATGGGAACCGTCTTTTATTACTACATTAATTTATCTTTGACATCGCGGCTTGGCTCCGTGATTGTCTTTACACAAATCAGAATCTACAGGAAAGGTCAATCTATGCAGAAATGCAACAAAGTACAAAACTTTTTAAAAATGCACATGTAGACCATTTTCTCAGGTACTCAGGCACACAGACATATTAAAAACAACACCACCCCCTCCCCCCAAAAAAAGAAAGAAAAACAAACCCCAACGAATTCCCTTTGATTTACGCGGGCCTTTCTATAGTGCATCTTTAATTTTCCCGCTACCGGTACTTCTTCTTGGAAGGGAAAGAGAAAAAAGAGAGAGAGAGAGAGTGAGTGAGAGAGAGAGAGAGAGAGAGAGAGAGAGAGAGAGAGAGAGAGAGAGAGAGAGAGAGAGAGAGAGAGAGAGAGAGAGAGAGAGAGAGAGAGAGAGAGAGAGAGAGAGGGAGAGAGGGGGGGGGGGGAGAGGGAAGGGACACTGTTAGATCCCCGTTATATTTTTGAATACTTCTAGTACCATCTGTTTTAAGATGTTTCTGTTTAGTAGACTCTGGTTCAATGTTGTAATAGTTCGGGGATTTTTTTGTGTGGAGTTGTTCGCCGTATGTTCATCTTGTTAATTTCTCTTAAGTTATACAGTTGTGTCTATACTCCGTCACTGCTTATATATGAGCTGTACAATGATTGTATACTTTTACATTTTATAGATATTTGTGTCATTTTTTGTGGCCAAATGAGTAAATGAGGAATGAATTTTTATACCATTTTGACAAATTTGGCCAAACAGGTCATGCAAAGCACATTGTGCTTTGTAAATTATGGAAATTCCATATATACATGTCGTGTATTATCGTCGTCATTATCATTACTATTGATATTTTGCATTTCTTTTGGTATAACTCTAACACGAGGAGGTGACACTGTTTAAAATTTCCCAACAATGTGTTTTTGAATTTGAACGTTAGCTTTTGGGAAAGCTTCCACTTTCAAGGCTTTTCATAGAGATTTATTTGTTCTTGTAGAGATCACGTATAACTGCAAATCGCACGACTGATTGCATTTTATTTTCAAAACGATGTTTTAAGTAACAGTGAAGTACGAAATTACTTTAACCAAAGTCTTTGAGGAATCGTATTGAAATCAGGTGCTTCGTCAAAATAACGAGAAGCTATCGGCTTTTTTCCTCCAGCTTGACAATTTTTTTTTCAATTTTTTTTTTTACGCTGTATACATTTTATGTCCACTTAATCGATTAAAGGAACAACAAAAGTATATTTTAAACTTCCAAGGAATCTCAAGCTTTGGATCATGGAAATCATCAAACTTTTTTGGCCATTTTTTCGCTAATTTTACATCTGAAACCAGGCGACCCTAACCTCATTCAATTGCAAATATTTTGACTACAATTAGACATAGATCTATATTTTTTTCACCAAAATGAAAACAAAAGAAGAGGCTTTAAGATGACAGTAATAATCCCATATGCTCAAAACTGATGAGCACCTGATTCCTCCACATCGTGACACATTTTTGTCGTCTGCAGGACGCCATAGAAGAAGAGGCACCAGACGCCTCTACGATCAACTTCAACTTCCAGTCGTTGTCAGGGTCGGGACCAGAAACTCCCACAGCCAACACGGTTCGGCCTTCTAAAGGCTCTGTGTCCTTTGCTATGGACCAACCTGAAACAGAGACAGAAAGCGAAATGGCTCCAGATGATCTGGACGAAGCGATGAGAGATAGAGAAAGAAAAGAAAGATATGAGAGGAAGATGGAGAGGAGGAGAAGGAGAGAAGAGGCAGCGGAAAGGGCGGAGAGGGAAAGAGAGAAAGATGATGACGATAGAATGGAGAGGGAGACGGGTGATCCGCTGAAGGAGTATTTCACCAAAGTCATGGACAGTCTAGAAAAGTGTAAGTAGAGTGACCAGGACAGAAAGAAGTGAGTAAAGTTTACTACTCCAAAAAGTGAAAGCATTTTGTTATCATATCTGTTTTATTGTTTATCGTTATGATACTGTTTCCGTGGCTTAAACAACTATTGGTGCTGCTGATGCAGTGATGCTGATGATGTTCATGACATTGAAGCGCTTCATCCCAGTCGTTTGTATTGGCTTGTGTAAAAGTAGGCATGCTGCAGCCACAGTTTATAATTGGGCGAGTACCAAACTCTTTTGAATGTGCATATTATGTATAATTTTAATCGATATCTATTCACTGTGTCCAACAATTTATTTGCTGATGTAGTTTCCCTTTTTTCATTTGTTTTAGTTTAGAAAAGTGAACAAACAATATAATGGGCATTTACAGCTACAATGACTGGCAGCGAGTAAAGAAGTTATAAGCTTGACCTACTTACTTTTCTGTCTCCTTACGTTCAGTTTACACCCTATAAATTGTAAGGCATTTTAGCCTGGGAACATGTTTACCTCACACTATCATTTATGACGGGAAGCTCCGATATCACACATTTTCCACTTAGGCTCACACAGGTCATAGCAGGTATAGCCCAGTAACTTGAAGTTGACTACGTGTCGGAAGCTTTGAACCGTCTCCCAATAAGAGTTCGCTTGAACGTGTTCTTAAGCTTGGTACTCAACTTGCTGCGGCTTATCATGTTAACTTTATTTGGAGGCCATGCCCTTCCTGAGTAAGGAATATCACATCTACAAAATAATGATCACTAATTAGAGGTGGAACCGGACCAAAGAGGTTGAAATATACTGCCGTAATGAAATATAAACTGAACGAAATCGTACATATATAATTCCCCTTGGAACATTGACAGGTTTTTTAAGAGAAAGGACCCCCCGAATTCCAAAATAAAGCTCTTATAGGTTCTATCTAAATTGAAACATTCGTGCAAGTTCTTTTCTCAAAGATATAACCTCACACCAACTTGAGTTTTGAGCCCCCAAACCCGCAATCCCAATACTACAAATTCGGTAGCCTAATCTAGTTAGACAACTCGGACACCTTAGAATTCAAAGTTCTATCCGCTCAGTACCTAGGTTTGATGAATTGTACTTAAAACATTTTGAGTTTCAAAAGTCGACTGTTTGAATATCTTGATAAAGACTCCGAATGACATTTCGATTTTGATAGATAAGATAGAACATTTGGTTTCTGACCTCAAAACGGCCAAAATATCAGATAGAACTTTGTAATTCTAAGGTAGCGAACTGATACCATCCTACAGTAAGGGTTCACTTGTATGTTCCCCAAACAGTGAACGAAAGCGGAGACTTCAAAGGCTTGAGGACTAAGGCCGAAGCCTTCTTGCTCACGATGGAGAGATACGACAACAGCGTAACCCCAAACAAGATGGCGTACGTGGGGAAAGCTCACAGTTACCTTGGCAATGCGCAAATGGGATTACGAAACTATGATTTCGCCTTGATGCACTACGATAAAGATCTAGAGATTGGGCAAAGATAGTAAGTCATTCTACATTGTTTCTAAGTTAATTTTTTAAGTTGAGCATGTCTTTTAGTAGAAATTTGTTCACTAGCATGCTACATAATGCTACATTTACTACAAACGCTTATCTTTTTTTAAAGTATGCCCCCCTATTTGAGCGGCTGCAAGAACTAAACGACTGATGTCAAAGACGTTCTACTTTATTCAAGCATTACTGTTACCCACAGTGAAGTTTTCATTAAACAGAAATAAATGTGAATGGGTGGATAGATAAATGAACACTCTTGTATGCATCTATGTTTTAATGTGTGTGTATGAGTGTATGTGCATGTTTAAGCGCCTGTCTATTTATGCATGTGTATGTCTACATACATACGAGAGAGATTATTTATCTACACATTTCATCATCTTGAAGTTTTATGCTAACTCACTAGGAAAAAACATACCTGGAAGACATTCCACTTAAGATTGTTTACGGCTACCGCACCTACGCACCTCTTTTTAAATCTACCTTTTTTTCTTCTCGTAGCAATCTTCCTGAAAGCGTGTCCAGGGCCCTTGGGAACATCGGAAGACTTCACATTTTTACAAAGAAATACCCCACGGCTCTGAAGTAGTGAGTACTTTGTAAAAGTAACTTTTCTTATAATTAAGACACCGCGCATTATCAGATTACTGTCTGAGTTCGAGTCAGAATTAGAAATTAGACAGGATACGGCAACTGAAGTCTCAAAATATGAAAGACGACAGACGGCATTTATTTAAGTATTAACATTTTAGCCATACTCAGGGATGTACTTTTCATGGGTTTTAGTAATATTAGTAGCATCATTAGTACTAGTATGTGTACTAGACGAAAGGGAAATTGAAAAAAAAAAGTTTGAAACAAAGTAAACTTAGCTATAAAGAGTCTGACATAACCATTCAATGAATCTGGCGAAAAAGTTTGGTGTTGGAGAAGGTATGTGTACTACTAGAACCATAAAAAAAATTACAACTCATTCCTGAATATTTTTTGTAACAGACAGAAGCATTTAAAAGAAATACCTTAACTGTGAGCTAAGGAATAATACAAATAATCTGTGTTTGGCTTTTTGTAATTGCTAGTCAAATATCATGAGGTCGATTTACACGAGCGGAATTATATTTTTTATAGAGCATCTCTTCGTGTTTGTTGGTATTGGAAGGGAGGGGGGGTTGTGGTTGATTTTAAAGCATTTTTTGTGGTATAGATGGTGGAGATATCATGTAAGCCCACTTTTAGGTGTTACTGGATTAATTTTGTTTAACGTTATGTTGTCAGCTTGTTATCACACTTTTTCAAAAGTGAACATATACGGGGTGCCCACTACGGCTGGATCAGACCGATCGCCCGACTCGATCGCCTGAAACTGAAAACAAACTCGTTTGTTTTTGAGGCGATCGAGTCGGGCGATCGTCGGCTAGCCGTAGTGGGCTCCCCGTAATAGAGAAACGCCATAGCTTTTCGTTGGCTTAGCCTGGTACAGCTATTATTTGTACAAGAAACTGGATTATCTTCACTTTACCATTGTTTTCTGTCTTCCAACTCTCTTTCCTTTCTGAATAAATCAGCAAGACTGTTTGGCTTTTAAAAAAATAAAGGCCGAATATCCAGACCGTTTGATTCCAAGCTTGAAAACTTTGTTCTCTATGTATTCATGGAAAGGGTCATTAGAGCAACGGATTTATGTGAAAGCTTCCATCATAATTTCTACAAGCATTTTACTTCTAGAATTCTGCACATCCAGTCATACATAAATTCCGAGACAAAACGTGAAGAAGATAAACAATTGTAAATCATTATTTTAAAAAATATAAATTCTTTCTACCAAGATCACAATATCCCTGATAAAACACACCCCGAGCAGGAGAGACGGAGGGAAAGCCTCATTCATGAAGAAAGGAACCATTAATCAAATCTTGGCACATTTTGAAGGTTTAGGAGATAGGGAGGAAGGGGGTTCATATAGAGAATGCAAAACTGAACACATTTGTTTTGAATCGGTTTAGATACTCGAGCTATTTTTCGCTTTTTTAAAACACACTTCTAGTTTTATGAGGTACGGTTTAAATACTATACTATTTCGAGACAAGCGGGTTTAAGGCTTTACGAATAAACTTCATCGTGAGTACACCAAAAATGACAGATAGGGTAAGGATGCATAGGTTGTGCTATTTGTTTGCAGAAGGATGTAGATAATAATTCTAGGTACGCGCTAGTGTTCCTATTTATAGTGTAGGAGAAGTCGCAATGAACATTTTGGTATAACATGGTGTGGATCAAATTTGATTAAAATTCCGTGCTGGGGAAAAGGGACATACCCCAAACATCGACTCCAGTCACCTTTTTTTCAAATCTATTTTCAATCATTAAAATCATTGTTATCATATCGCTTGTCACCATCTTGGATTCCACCCTGGCAGGGAAATCCCAGTGAATAGTTCGGTGTGACATGCTGTGGTTAAAATTCAATTGACATCCAGGGCTGGGGAAGAGAAAACACAACTCAAACATCGATTGTAGAAACTTTGTTCAAAGCCATATCCATCATTATTATTATTATTATTATTATTATTATTATTATTATTATTATTGTTATTATTATTATTATTATATTACTATTATTATTATTATTATTATTATTATTATTATTATTATTATTATTATTTCATTACTATATCGTTTGTTACTATCTTGCATTCCAGCCTGGCTCTAAAGAGTAAACTGCCGAACAGTGAGGCGGAGAGAGCCTGGTTGTACCATGAGATAGCCTCCTGCTTCCTACAGCTCCATCACTTCCAGTTCGCCCGAGACGCCGCAATCAAGTCATTGCAAGCCGCCACTGATGGCAACGATTCGCTGTATCAGTTGCAGTCTAGCGTGTTGTTGGGGGCGATACAAGGTATTGTTTGGACGTTTGTTTATTTGTGTGTGTTTGTTTGTTTGTGTGTGTTTGTTTGTGTGTGTGTTTGTGTCGTGTGTGAGTATGGTGTGGTGGCGCTGGTATGTGTGTATGTGGATGGGTGGGGAGGGGGGTGCTTGTGTTTGTGTACTTTAGTGATAGTGTTTACTTGTGTGTGTGTGTGTGTGTGTGTGTGTGTGTGTGTGTGTGTGTGTGTGTGTGTGTGTGATGGTTGTGTCAATTTGGGTTTTTTTTTCCAAGAGAGATAGACTTTAAAATTCTTTTACCTAGCACAAACTCTAGCGTCCAAATATCTCTCTAATTGCAGTGAAACTGGAGAACTTTGAGAAGGCGTACGGGAGCTTTGAACAAGCAATGGACTACGCAAAACTCAGAGGTAACGAAATAGCTTCAACTGATGATACCATACATAACATTCCTGTATTACCCCAACAGCGTAACTCAGTCTATCTCTCCGTCTGGGATTCTGTCTCTCTCTCTCTCTCTCTCTCTCTCTCTCTTTTCCTGCCTTTCACACACACTCTCTCTCTTTCTCTCTCTGTGTAATATGGGTTCAAGATATCTTTCAAATAAAGAAAGAAAGACAGAAAGGAAGAAAGGGAGATAAAATTAAGAAATGAAGAAAGGAAGAAAGGAAGAAAGAAAGAAAGAAAGAAAAAATGAAAGAAATAAATAAAGAAAAACAATCGCATCCTCTCACGCAATTCTTTTGTCATACAAGGGACACAACTACATAAATGACTATCAGTATAGTTTTATACGTTTTTTGCTTCCCCTTTGTCTTTAACAACTTATTAAATTTATATCCCACCAAATTCACATTCTGTGTTTCACTTTCTCAGAAAACGTGTACGCAAAATGAAATACATTTGTAAACCTGTTGTTTCCTCACCTGACATTGGCGGCAGCATAATGCATCTTAAATGTGACCTTCACAAATCAACGATTATTTAAAAGTTTAGAAAGAACTTACGTTTTCCTTCGGCCCATGACGTTCTTAAAAAAAAATGTTATGAGAAGGAAAAATGTCTTTGAACAGCCATGTACTGTTTAAACATGATTTAAAAAATCAGACAGCATCATTGTTCTGTGTAACAGTTCAGAGGTTGGTTACATTCTTATAATTTCATATTCAATCAGGGGACAAGAAAGCTCAGCAAGCAATCACCGAAGCTTTGCAAGAAGTGAACCAACGCTTGGCAAAGCAGGCCAGAGAACAAGTGGTCAAAAGCGATGGAGGCTCTGGTGTGGATAACGAGGAAGAGGCTAAGAAGACAGAAACAAAAACTTCTGAAGACCCAGCGACGTCCGCTGGAACTGACATCAAGGTGAAGGAAAGTTTCCTCTCGTAAAAGAACCATTGTTAGTGGAGTAAGTTTAAAGCTCGACCTCTCCACTGCAGTTTTCGATTAAATTATAAACTTAATTTGAGTTTAAAGCCCAGCAGTTGATATTTAGCCAAGGGTATTTGAATAATGCTCAATTAAATCACTGTCAGATAAGATGGAGTCAAAGTGTTATAAAACACATTTAATCGAATAGTATTTACAATCCTTTCAGAGATCTATTTTAAGATTGCTTGGCCTTAATAACTAGCAACCACCTTGGGTTTTTTTTTTTACATTTCACTTGGCCTATGCCTTCTTTGCGTCGTGTTTCTTTTTGAAAAGCAATTGACCCTGGATTCATTTTTAAAAAATGAATTTGAAATTCAAGGCCCCAACCTGTTGATATTTTAATATTTCTTACTTATTTTTTACTTTATTGTTACCCCAAAACTCTTTGGTTTATTAATTGTTTCCGTTCAAAAAAGAAAAGAGTTATTCTTCTCATACCCACTATTAAGTGAGAAGTAAGAACAATGATATATTTTTCAGAAAAGCGCGAGGACAAAAAGGCAAGATAATGCTTTACAACAGACATATATTAATGCCCAAAAATTCAGCACTTTGTTAACAAAAGTATAGCTAGTACTAATTATTGATTTGTTGTCAGTATTTTTTTTTCTGACAAGAGGATCCAGATTGCTCAATAAATACTGTATACTAAATTGCAATTTTATTTAACAGGTCGATCATCCAAACACCTCAAGCATGAGAAAGGAACACAATAAGGAAACAAAGACGGAAAAGATTGACCAAAACCAGACACACGAACAAAGTTCGGCAAAAGAACCGAAAACGGAGTCTGGAGGTGTACAGAAATCGGATTTTCCTGCAGGTGTCAAAATAAGCAGTCAAACCAACATAGAGAATCCGCTATTTGCCGTGATACAGGAGAACAGCGTAGTTGAAGATGAGACAGAGGGACCTGGATTAGAGCCCACCCCAGTCGACGGGGAAACTGATCAGTTGGAAGACGGTTCCGCGGTCAAGGATGAAGAGGTCTCAGAAGAAAATGTTGACCAGGACGAACAGGTGACGCTGCCTGGGGCACGCGAGGTCTCTTCTGATGTTCTCAAGGTCACATACCAAGAACGAGTTATCACAACGGTAAGAGTGACTTGTAAATGGCGAATATCACACTTTCTTTAAAGCCTAAGTCTCGTGGCTTTGTGCTGAGACAATTATTAGTGTGCCATTTCACAAGCAAAAGTACATTTCGAAGAGTTAGAATAAAGAATCAGGAAAGTCTAGCATCCTTTCGGATCAAAGATTGACACTACTATACAATTATTTATGACACCAGTACTATCTCCGTATGACATGGGACGCAATACTAAGCAGGATGCTGAACACCCCCATTATCTCACTTTTCTTTTATATTCATGAACACGTTCACGTGCTCACGTGTGTGTATGTCTTTAAGCGCTTGCGCGCGTGTGTGTGTGTGTATGTGTATGTGTGTGTGTGTGTGTGTGTGTGTGTGTGTGTGTGTGTGTGTGTGTGTGTTTGTGTGTTTGTGTGTTCGTGTACGTGTGTAAGTTAAACTTATAACATACTTAAATGTAAGGAAAACACTGTTATATTAGGACAACAGTTATGAAAAAATGATGCCCCTCTTTCCTATGATACTCTAATTAACTTCCAGGAATCGTTGGCCAAAAGCATTGCCAAAGACAGAGGCGTGAGAGAAGACTTGAGACTGTCCCTGGGCTCCCTCAAGGATGTGGTCATGGAGTCTGTGCAGAAGGAGGCTAACCAGGGAGGGCCTCAAGGAGGTACGCTTAAGGCTTGAATAAGTTATAATAATAATATTGCGTATGACTTTTGTCTTGTGATCTAAAAGAGCTCCGTAGGGGTGACACATATGGTGAAATGGTTAGTCAAATCTGGAGTTGAGATAGAGGGGTAGGGTATCATCTGGGGCTTCCTTTTTATTCCTTTCTTCGTATTTTGTTACCCGAAGAATAAGGATACAAGTTACTGTACACACAGGCCCGTGACTGTTCAACAAGAAATCATGATCTGTTTTTTTTATTTTTATTTTTTTGGGGGGAGGGGGGGGGGGGGGGTACCAGCAAAATCAAAATGCTTATAATCTGGGCACTGGATTTATACTTTTATTTTTATTTTCAAAGGCCTGGCCCCACTTGAAGCGATGTTAATATTATAAAGCATGTATGTGAGGTCTTTACTTCATTCTGAGGACCAGGGAAAAATGAAACACAAGCATAGAGAGGGTTAAACGTTTCAACGATCATTATATAGTAAATTCTTTTACCTTCATTTTAAAAAAAATCAATCCATGCAAATATTTCATTACTCCGCCTCTCAAACTAAAGATACAATATGGATTATGTAGGATACAGACCCAGTTTAAAAAAAATCTAAGTAATATAAAACAGCATGTAGTCAAAGGCATTTGACATTTTTTGCCAAGTTTTAAAAAAAAAAGTGGTTTCTGAAAGCAAGGCCCAGAGCCTAATCTTCCCACTGCAAACGAAGGATTTTTCTCTGTTTTATTTGCGAACTTTAACAACTTTAGAGTTATTATATTTGTTTGAATGTTTTATAAAGAAATAACAACAAACGTATCTTAAGAGTATTTTTTTTGTCAAATGAAGAAGTATTATTACCTTATTAAAATTCATATGAGAGTGCCCTTATACTCCCATTCGGTTCATGACATTTCAATGTCTCAATGTTGCAGTTAGTCGCCAATTTATCGAACTGTGCAGTAAGTTTATCTATTTTAAATTTTCTAGTGCGAGTTATCAGTAGACCAACTATTCGTTAGTTTGCGTGTTTACGTATCTATTAACCCTGTTTGTTATAGTTTCCAGAATCATATTTAATAACGTGAGTCGCTGAACGTATAACACGAACAAGCAGTATAGTATACTACCATACTAACATTTTACTCATATGAACAGTTTTAGAATACAGGCAGCCCAAACAATAAACGAGGGACAACTCTAACTAGACTTTGATTTTAACCACACAAGTAGATGACGGTAACAGTCAAGTCCACGTGGCAACTCGACGTAATCCAATATCTCACCAAGATTCAATTCTACATGTATTTGCTCATCACCTTTGAATGTTGAATATTAATTGGCAGGACGTTCGTCTTGATTTATCATAATATACACAGAATATTATAGCATCACCCTGTTGTTCCTAACTTCTATCTTCTATCATGTTGTAGAAATCTATACTTAAAGATTTTTCTTTATTTCAACCTAATAGTAATAATAATAATAATAATAATTGCATTTGTATAGCGCATATCGACGCTCAAGAGCATGCTCTATGCACTTTACAACCTTATCATTGTTTCGATTATTTACTAAACTGTTTGTGCATCTTTAAACTTGTAATGGTGACAAACGTCTGTCTTATGTAAACTTCTATTTCTCCGTTTACTGTTTTGTTTCGTTCAAAACAAAACAAAATATCTCTTGCCATGGCCAACCCTAGGCTTCTGATGAAATATAAGATTCTTGTATAAAACAATATCTTTCCCCTTTATTTTAATTTCTATTACTTAATGTCTTTAAAGAAATATGATGAAATATTGGAATATCTACATTGACTTCATTATCATCACACCCAAAATTCCAAAGATTTTGTACAAATTTTATTATACGCCCTAGAAGTAAGGCGAAAAACAGAACGTCGAAGAAAGCACACTAAGGGGACATTTTTTATTTTCATTTTCTTTTTTCAAATGCTTTGCGTCTATGTAAACTTTACATTCACTCAAAATGCTACTGACCGAATTAATAAGGCATTGTGACATTGCAAAAAGTGAGAATGGCATATTCTTTGCATAAATATTATGGCATTAAAGTGCTGATCAATGACATTACACACAGGACTTATTATTTTTAATTGGACTCTCAACTTCTTCATTTTTGGTTATAAGAAAACAAAGAAGTTAATCTGTTGACAACGTACTTAAATGTTCACATTCTGGTATATGGATTACACTCTTACCAACATGGCTCTATTTGAGTCATATTATTCTTCAAGCTTAACTTTGGTTTTTTGATGTCCTTAATCATCTTTTTAGTTGGTATTGTTTTGTTTTTAAAAATTTCGTATTACATTTGAAAATCATAAAACACAACGCTAGATATCACTGTCCCTAGGAGTCAACGTAAGACATATGGCTATATAATTGCATATTAGCGAATAATAACGTACAAGAATGAACGAAAGGTGCAAGACGAGATGAGTTGTGTTTTACGTGTGTATGAACGCACGTATCTGAATATATAACGACCATGTGTTCGTATTGTTTCTTTCTTAACACGGTTAGTCAAGACAGCGATGTAAACTACATCTTTTTTATTATTAAGTTTCCTAAAAATTCTCTTTCTCATAACAGAAAGCATAGATGCGAGAGGGAAGAAAAGAGTGACTATTGCGGAAGGATACGAAGTGATTCCACCGATCCCAATTGCTAGCCTAGACAAAGAGAATGACGAAGATGGTTACGGGAAGAAAGATGCAATTGCAAACAGGATGGAGAGAGAACTGGTTCTCATGGAAAAGGGTGAGAATCGGTATTTAGTATTTGTGTTCTTTGCAGAAACCATATGTTCAACTTCTTGATTCTATGAACTCTAAATATTTCATTCTATTTGAAAAAAAAAGTTTAAAAATAACGTTTGTGAATTTTAAAAGGGGCAATGACATTTATTTTTAAGGCCCTTTAGAAATGTCTCATCAGATTCTGGGATCATACTGAGAAGGACAAACTAACTAGTATGTCACGAAAGTAAATGGTGGGAGACCTTATTTACTGCGCTTAGTTAGTATTTATTTAAAACAGTTCCGCCATCTTTAAAGATTGTGCTCGATCTTTTGCAATGAAAATTGCTAGATGAAAGACGAAAAAGCTATCTACATCAGGCAATTTTGGACGTCTTCAAATTCCTAATTCTAAATCAAGACTGAAGCAGTGATGAATTCTTGAAATAACAATGAAAATCTTGGTAATAACAGATTAGGAAGGTAGCTAATAACAAATTATACTTGAACCTATACAAAAGAGAAGGAGGAAGGGGTAGAGAGAGGAAGAGAGAAAGAGAGAGAGAGAGTGAGAGAGAGAGAGAAAGAGAGAAAGAGAGAAAGAGAGAAAGAGAGAAAGAGAGACAGGCGTACAGACAGACAGACCGACAGACAGACCGACAGACAGACCGACAGACAGACAGACTGACAGACAGACAGACAGACAGACAGACAGACAGACAGACAGATAGACAAAGAGACAGAAAGAATAATATAGTATTGTGCTATTCATGTCATTATATAATAATATACATGTATACATATTTTGAAAATGAACGATTTTTATCTAAGTTGTATCGATGGTGGCGCCAAAACACTTTTATCGAAAGAAAAGTAAAGGAGAACAGACTTTAAAAGTCAATAAACGAAAGTGGAAAAAATTGTGTTAAATTAAAAGTAAGATTTATACACATCGTCTTCTAAAAGAAATGTTGATATCTCCAGAGTACAAACGAAAACTGTTCGACAAACTCCTCAAACGTGGCACTGACCTGATCAGGTATTTGTCAAGGGAGAAGAACATTGATGACTGGTCTAAAAGATGGTTGCGGAACTTTGCCAAGGTAACCCATGACTTTGGTGAAATGACTATAGTTTTCACAAATCAGCACGTTTCTTCTCTCTTTCCCTTCCCCCCGCCCCTAAACCCCGATTTTGTCTCTCTGTCTCTCTCTGTCTCTCTCTTTCTCTAGTTCTCTCTCTCTCTTTCCCTCTCCCCCC